CTGGGCTGTGAGAAGTAAATGTCTGTTTTCTAGGCAGTCTAAGGAGCTTTGTTACAGCAGCCAAGAAAAGAACAGCCCCTGTATCTCTCTACTCCCTGGATTGCCCTGCAGTTCTGCCTGCCTCCCCCATCTGCTTCTCTCCTCCCTGCCTTAGTGCTTTCTCTGGCACTGAGAGGCCTATCAGGAAGTGAAGGCAAATAACACCCTGGGTGCAGCCTAATCAATGAGGAACAAGAGCTGATGAGTAAGTGCTCCCCCCATCTCAGGTAAGCTGCTTGTGAGTCACATTCCCAGAGGAATGTCAGAGAGTTCTGGAGTGCCTCACTCATTAGTTACACCTTCTCTTTTTCCCTCCTCCCTCACGCATGCCTCTTGGGATAAACCCCAAACCAATTCCCTGCATCCAGGTGCTTGTCTCAGGCTCTGTTTGCATAGGAACCAAACTAAGACAGGATATTCTTTTTTGTTTGTTTGTTTTGGTGGTACTGGGCCATTTTTTCGTTTGGGTGGTACTGAACTCAGGCCTTGCACTTGCTAAGCAAGCACTTTAACACTTGAGCCATGCACCCAGCCTTTTTTGTTTTACTTTCTATTTTTCAGATAGGGTCTCAAGCTTTTTCCTGGGCCAGCCTCAGACCAAGATCCTTCTACCTCCACCTCCTGAGTAGCTGGAATTAAGGTATGCACCACTCCCGCAGCCTGAAACAAGACACGCTAAGGAAAGTCTCATCAGGAAAAGGCACTGGTCTTAATGGTCACAGCTACTCATTTTTTTCAGTCAAGTCATTCCAGATAAAGGCCTTTAAATGTTCTAGGACAAATAATGGCATTTCTAATACATGTTCAGAAGAAAAAATTCAAGACCCAAAATAGAAAGCTTCAAGCCAAATCCTTTCTGATCCCAGCAAACTTCCTGATCTGTTAAGAGGGGACGATTTGTGACAAGTGTAAATTCTATGAATAATAAATTAGGATGAACATAATAATAAGGTATTTTTAATAACAAATAACACATGTATTTAGTGATAAATTCTTTCATGTCCTGGAAATTCCAGTAAGTTTTGTATAATACAAAATGGACATGTGTCTTTGAGATAGTTCCCATGACTGGAAAATTCTACATTGAAAATATCACATCTCTCAGGGAACACCCTCTGGGGATGCAGTTCCAACTCTAAATAGAACATCTCATCACTTAAAATTTTTCACCAAAGTCAGGAGGAAATTTGTAGATTCCAAAACCAGTGAACAGTCACTGATTTCTTCGCACCACTATTCCTTTTTTCTTTTTCTTCTTTTCTTTCCTTCCCTCCTTCCTTTCTTTTCTTTCTTTTTTGAAACAGGGTCTTACTGCGTAGTCCAGGCCTGCCTTGAACTCACAATCCTCCTAAGTAACTGGGATTGTAAGCATGTACCACCACGCCCAGCTTTTCACTATTCCTTTTCAAATACAACATCTAGACATGGTTCCCTTTGCTTCCAGTCCCTCTTCATGAAGGCAGAGACCTCCCACCTAATGAGGGGTTCTGGACCCCAGCTGTCAGGTCTTGCTCTGATTGGGGGTTGGCAGGATGGGGAGAGGGGACAGAAACAGCACTACCAATTTCATCCTTTCCTGAAACCGGAGGATGGGCTTCAGGTAAAAGTTAATTACCATTTCACATTACATAAAACCCAATGCAGCCTGCAAACAAGGGAAAATTCCATTACAACTTCCCTTTCTTTATTTGGACTGAGAAGCAAAACCATTTCTCCTGAGGGTACATAGTGAAGTCTGCAAATCCAAGAGCCATACAGAAGGTCCCAAACAGGACTTTGCATATATTCATGCAAATTCACTACTCAGTCCTCCCCATAGCCTGAGGGCCTATCCATGACTATCAAACATGCAATGCATTTTCCCCACCACAATGGACACATCATGACTCGTGGGATTTTGCTTGCTGTCATGTTCTACCAGTGCCTGATAGAAACAGTGTCTTCAGTGGGATTATGCTTAAATTGACAGACTTAAGGACAGGTGGTTTGTTTGGGAGATGATCTCAGAGAGCAGAAGTAAGTCTGAAATGAAGAGAGTAAGGCAAGGAAAGAGGAAAAGCCAATTAAAGAGATGTTTCCAAGGTCTCTGCTTTAGGCAAAGGACCTTGGAGAAGTTTCGAGAAGCTTCTGGAATGGTCCCTACAGAGAAGAAACTGAGTTCCATCCCCATTGGTTGAAGGGAGTTAACACCCTGACTTCCAGGCTGATCCTTGTGGTTGGTGGGCATTTTTAAAGCAAGGCTGTTAAGTGTTGTCAGCTGCAGTGGGGCTGGATGCAGAGGGGACTCAAAGCTACAGTGAAGGATGCCAAAAGCATCTTCCTCAGGAGACATTAAGCTTATTTTGTCTTTTTAGCGAATAAATGGATTCTCCTGCTGCAACTGTGCATATATGTTACAGGAGAAGTGTGGGCCCTAGACCATCTTGCTGGAGGACAAAGGTCAGAATTATCAATACCCTCTGACCTTTTAGAAGGGAAAGTCATTACCACAGCCGAGGAGTTCAGACTTCTGTTGACTTCTTATTTTCCCAGAGGATCTTGCCTAGCACAGTCCTGCTCAGAGTGGTGGGGACAGTGGCTGCAACTTTATTGCAAATGAAGCGCCCACTGTACTACCAACCCGTCTTCCAGCTTCTGATGCTCTTGTCACAATGTCTTGTGGCATTTCACTGTGGCCTCTGGGCCACTCCTCTGTCTCTGTACCAGCTCCTCTTCTTCCATTCACTTCTTGCTGTCATTTCTCAGGGTCTTCCTAGACCCCAGTTCCCCCTACCACCACCACCTCTCCCCTGTGCTACCTGCCTTCCTGATTCTCCCTAGACCGCCCAGGCTGGCAGCTGCCCCCACATGCAGACTCTGTCCAGTGTCCCTGTGACCTGGCTCAAGACTCAGGGTCCCAACTTCCTCTTGGCCAGTCGCTGAACAGACAATAAAATCAATCCTATAATGGACTCTTATCCACCCCATCTCTGCAACCCAGCCAGCTTTTCCATCTTGGACAACACTCTACTGCCACCCTTGTCTCCTGATCTAGAACCTCAAGGTCAGCCTTGGTCACAAGGTCCCCTTCCTTCTACCCATTTCTTGAACAGCAAGGTTATTCCTGGATGGCTGAATTCTTATTACACATCTACTTTTTTAAATTTTCTGAATATTCACTTATGACTTTACATAATGCTTGTGGTGTTTCATTATAACTAATAGGAGGGGCTGGCAGAGTGGCTCAAGTGGTAGATCACCTGCCTAGCAAGTGTGAGGCCCTGAGTTCAAACCCTAGTACATTATGAAACTAATAGATTTCATAATGGGTATTGCCCTAAATAAAATCTACCTTGATTCCTCATACTCCCCTCCACCATCTTCATAGTCCTCTTACCCAACTTTGCCTGGTGACACCTTTCCACATCACCACCTAAAACCCTAACCCCATTTCTTCCTGTCCTTATCAGAACACTTCTTCTCCCACTGCTGCCACTCCATAGATCCTAAAGCCATCAGAGTTATCCAGATAAGTTCACTTGTTTAATTGTCTCCTCCATTATGCTGTCAACTCTTAGTTACACTGTGTCCCCAAGGCCTGGCAAAAGTGTTTAATAGATATTAAATGGACAAGAAGAAGGGCATTGAGTAACTGGCTCCAGGTAAGCCAGTTTCACAGGGTGCCCTCAAGTGTGATTAGGGGACCTGTTATAAATGCAGATTCTTGGGCCCTACCTGGGACCTGCCTGCGGGAGTGTTTAAAACACCTGCATAGGTGATTCCACTCTATGACAAGTTTGTATTTCCAGACCTGTCTTGGATGCTGTCACTAGTTTCCCCAAGTGAGGACACAAACCTCAGCAGCTACTGTGGGAAAATTGCTGGGCAGCATTTAATCAGCTGCTCTGTTTCAAAAATGTTGCTTCTGTGGGTTAGAAAGGAGGACACCAGAGCTGTAAACAAACTCCTCCAGCCAGGGTCCCCATAGTCCCTCCATCCCGCAGGTCCAGAGAGGGATACAAATGGCTATTTGAACACAAGCTTCTCCAAATCTTACTTCTTACATCCAACGGAAGAGGGAAGGCACTGGGAAAAGGTGGAGCCCTAGTCGGGGATGGCTAGGGATCCACTGCTCTACCTTGCTCCTCGGTTTGAAGTCTGTGAAATGGGCTTGGCAGTGGCTCCAGCAGCAGCCCTCAGACTCCTACCAAATGGTTTCGAGGTGCGGAAGACCAGGGCACTCTGAGTGGCCCAAGCCCAGGTCCTTCTCTCCGCGGATGCCTGTGCCATTCAGAGCTGGGGGTGCGGTGGGCGGCAAGCTCCTAGGACACTCTCTGGAGCCATTTGGCCACCAGTGGCAGCCGGCGCCAATGAGAGCTGGTTAACTTTGCCCTTTCCCAAATGGATTCCTTTGAGAATGTGGCCCAGGACAGCAGCCAGCTGTGGTCGCAGGCCCTTTTCCCTTGCCCTCGCAATCATGGCGAACTTCAAGGGGTTTTAATGGAGCCAAGAAGAAAGTGGGGGAGATTATGCTCCCAGAGAGCCCCGCCCCCGCGGCCCCTTAGAATTACACCTCCCCGTTTCCTTTGAGATCCGTCCTGTCCCCCCCAAACGGATCATCCTGGATGAGACTCCAGCCTCCTGTTTGCCACCCTGGAGAGGGCACGGCGCTGGAAAGGAACCAGGGAGAGGCAGATGGATGGTGGGGCAGGGCGGGGAGGGGGGCAGAAGCTTGTTGGACAAAGAGGGGGCCAGACACTGGGCACTCGCCTGGGAGGGTTAAACCCACTCCACTGGGCCATTTGCCCCCTCTCTCCCAGGAGCCTCTTGCATCGGTTGTCGCCTCAGTGGCCGCCAACCCAGCACGTGTTGCTGCGGGTCTGCGTCAGCGCTGGGTAAATAATGACAGGCGGCCAGCGCCGGGTGGGGCTATTTAAGAGGCAGCCGCGCTCCCACCCACCCTGAACTTGGCTCTGCGGACGGGCTGCTCGGCAGGAACCGCTAAACCAGCTGCTTTGTAATCCAAAGGTAGGTCCCTCCGCTGACCTACTAGAGACCCAGTGTCCTGTCTGCAGAATGCTGTCTTCAGTTTGTACCTTTTTGCTTTTCTGTTTTCTGTGCTTCCCTCCGATAGCTGTAAAGACAGAATTCCCAAAGTCAGAATAATTGCGCTGAATCTAAAAATGAGGTCTGGGTGGGTAGCGGTGCTTTTAGAGACTTCCTCACGCCCGTATTCTTCTTGTTCTCTTTTTTGGCATACAACACTAGAATATTCATTTGTTAGAACTCACGTGCAAATTGGGATTTGCTAGCTGTTCTGAGTACTTTGCAATCTTTTCAGATAAAATGCCAAGAGGATTTAAGATTTAAATCCATTTTCTAGATGCTGCAGAAAAATTGAAAGCTTCAGGGATAGAACCTTAGGGGAGGTTTTATCTGCTAACAGTGCTGTCATGCGGCTCGGCTTTGGCAACGGCCGAGAACCGAGCGCGTATTTCTGATTTTTTCCATGCTTTGCATGGTAGTTTATTGCCAATTCCCATGTACACCTTGAAGAAACCTTATAAATACGGCTCTTAAGTATCGCTCGTACATTTTAAACTCTGCTGCCCCCCCCCACCATACACGGTTTATTTCCGTCTTAAAAGCTTCTTAGCTCTCTGAAAAGGTGCTACCTTTCTTCAAGGGTCCCACTTCTTTTCATAGCATCACCAATCGCATGTTTTCCAATTAGAAGAGACGTTCGACAAACTCACCCTCAAACTTTAGGGAAGCAGGAACCACTTCTTCTGCTAAAAGAGCAGAGAACACAGGTCTCCATCCATCCTCCTTGCGCGGGGTGTGGATTACCCAAAAACCAAGCTAGGTGCGCCTGGAGGAGCGCATAGCTAGGGTCTGCGCTTGGCAGGTCCTAGTGCTGGCGCCAGCCAGGCGGGTGTGGAGAGCTCACGGATGGTGGCCGACTCTCGGCAGGAGCCCGCAGACGCCCAGTCCTTCCGTGAACACCCCCTTGCCTTTGCTCCCCACAGCCATGAACACTGGTGTGTGCCTGTGCGTGCTGATGGCGTTCCTGGCGGTGCGCGCCCTGGCGCAGCCGGGGTCCCCCGCAGATCCCGCGATCTCCGAGATGCAGCGAGCAGAGGAGGTGCCCCGAAGACAGCTGAGAGCTGTACCCAGGACGGAGGGCGAGTCCCGGGCGCGCCTGGGCGCTCTGCTGGCCCGATACATCCAGCAGGCCCGGAAAGGTAAGGATGCTACTTCCCCAGCCCTTCTGTTCCTCCCCTGGGCTCCCAATCCTGACCCGTCCCGTGGAGATAACCGCTGGCAGGAAACCCAGGCGACAGGTCAACGTGGCACGGTTTTACTTTCCTGAGTCATAATGCACGGGATCGTGCAGTAGTCAAGTCGTCCTTTGAAGCTATCAAAAAGGAATGTGGAGGGCTCAGTTTATTAATAAGGAGAACCTTCTTGAAACCCTTTCTTTGAACTAATTTTTGACATGTTGCTGTTTCAGTTCAATACCACTTTATGAAAACATTAAACAATAATTCCTGAACCCTGGGATGAGTTCCCAGAGGCACTAAATCACTTCTCCTATAAACGCAGTGGAACTGGGAGCCACCCAGCTACTGACACAAATGATCAAGGCTTGAGATGTGACAAAAAGAACTCTGTATGGTGTGTGTGTGTGTGTGTGTGTGTGTGTTCACCAAAGTATGTAACATGAGGAAAGAACCTTGGCAATGAGTTAAAATGATCCCACAAGAGATGTGTTTTTTTATTTTGCTGCTGGAGAGATGCTCCCAGTTCTGAGCAAGTCACAGGTTTTCAGCATGGAAATCTTTCTTCAGGAATAAGGTGATTTAGCAGCTCTCCAGTGAGCACAGGTTTCCCAGATCTGTCTTTCTTACTGACACAGAGGAGAAGAGGGGAGAGCTCCCTAGATCCCCCTCCAGCTCTGTGGGATTCAGAAGGGTGCATCCACCTTCTGCAGCCCTTAGGAATCATGATTTGGATGGGGACCAGTTTTTCTCCCAACTTAATCAAGGTGACAATGATGATGAACCCTGGGGGGGCAGTGTGCTAGGGGGTAGGGGCAATACTACTGGATTAAAACCATTAAGCAAACACTGCCAGGAGAGGTGTGGGAGGTGAGTCCCTGTTCCTGAGGATGTCTTATCCAACTGGTAGAAAGGTGCCTGGATTTGCATCTTAACTTGTGGCTTGATGAGGCAGGGAGGAAAGGGAGGGCTTGCGTCTCCAGAGTCTTCTGTGGTTTTATGGTTTTATATGAAATCACACTAGAGTATTTAAAAAATTTTTTTGGTAGGTGCTCTACAACTTGAGCCATGCCCCAGCTCTAGACTGGAGTCTTTTTGACCAGATGTCAAAAGGAATGAACAGAGATTGTTTCTTACATCCCTTTTTCTCTTTGGGAAATTGTCCTACTGCCATCTTCTGTATTGCTTTTCATGCTCATTAAATTGAAAGAGATAGAAATACTAGTCAGATGATGATGAAAGTCTAGCAGCCTTTTTGAGTTCTTTCTGATTGACTATCTGAAAATAATTTTGTATCTACCCTCACGTATGGGTTGAATTCAGTCAGGCCAGTCCAAAATATCTCCAACTTTTCATTGAACCATACATCTGGAACTTTAGGAAAGATTCCAAAAAACAGTTCTAGCAAAGGAAAACAAAAACTGGTTGTCACTGGGCCTTGTGATTCACAGCTGTAATCCCAGCTACTTGGGAGGCAGAAGTAGGAAGAGCTCAGCCTGAGCCCTCCCGCCCATCACACCCCTCACTCTCTGGTGAAAGCAGGAGATTCTATTTAAAAAAAAAAAAAAAAAAAACCTAAAAATAAAAAGGGCTGAGGTCCTGGCCCAAGTGGTAGAGTGCTAGCCTAGCAAACTCAAGGCCCTAAATTCAAACCTCAGTAGTGACAAAAATAATTAGTTGCCAACTTGTCCTAGAAGCAATACCTGACAGTGGCTCTTGAAGCATACATTTTATCTAGAAGATCTTCCAAGCCTTTCCCTTCAGACTGTTGGGCAAAAAAAGCCCATATGGGGACAGCAATCACTTAAAAATCTAGGTGTCACACCCCAGATCAGCGCTAACTAGAAAACAGCTATGCTCATCTATTTACCAAATATGAACTGTTTACTCCTAAACACTGCAGATTCTTTGACGATTGTACATATTTTGAGATTGTATCAGATTTGGACTCAACTCTAGTACACAGGATGCTTAAAGGTTCTAGATAAGAGAATGCACTGTTTGAGCAGTGTGTGAGTTTATTGTTAGGACTGTCTGCAGTGCTCTCAATTGGCCCAGAAGAAGCAGATCCTACAGAAGGGTGGGGGGTAGGTGGTCTTATCAGCATTGTGGCCTTTAGTACACAGCTGCCCATGACCAGGAAGCACCAATGCTCCATCTGTACTGTCCCTCTCAGAGCTGATTTCAGCCTTGTACAGCAAATGTCTCATGTCCATTTGGGCCAAGTAGAAGCCAAGGCTCAAGGGCAGGTAATATCACCATGACTGCACATCTAGGCAGCAGCAATGCCGAGCCCATGCAAGTCCTGAGGTCCAGAAGCCACTCAGCTTCCCAGCTGTCCTGTCAATTCTGGGTGTGGAAGTTTGCAGGAGGCAGGTCCTTCCCTTTGACTCCTGAGTCACACTTGTTAAGTCCCTCCGCTGTGTCAGCACTGGGAAGTGAGTGAGGTGAGGACATTGCTAAGGCCCCCAGGAGAACAGAACTCAGTGTAGAATGGGGAAGATCAGGTGTGCACCAAATGCAGTATCCCTGGCTGACCGCAATGTCCACACCAAAAAAACAGAATGCTGGCTTGTATTAAAGCTGTTGCTTTGCTTCTGTTAGATGGAACTTTGGGTTGTGGCCAGTCCTTAGAGTGGGCAGTCATCATTCAGAGCAGGAAGGAGGTTGAGTCTGATTTCCATGTGACTGTGCCCAGGGACCTGGGTCTGCAGGTCTTGATGATAATATTTCACCTGGAAGGTGGCAAGGGCTGCTTTTCTTCTGCATAGGCTGCCGGTGCCTGCAAAAACAGTTGGGAATGTGCTGAGTTGACTCTCAGTTCCAAAACTGGTAGGGGATGGGACAGGGAGAGATAGGATAGGTATATTATTCTGTATGATTGTTTCTGTTTTAAATGTAGACAGAGCGACTGCCTCTGCAGTGTCATTTATCAGTAAGTAAACCATACTGTGACTCTACCAGTCTGTGGGCAGGAGCTGGCAAGAGCAGCCTCGGGCAGCTTGGCTGCCAGTCAGCACTTCAAGAGGTAGGGACACAGTGGCCCCACACAGTGGGAACCATGGTCAGGTGCTCCACTCCTCTACCTTGAATTGTCCTGGGCTTTGGCCATTCAAGTCCCTAAGAAGCCCTTTCTAACCCTTGGCTGGCACAGCAGGTATTACACTGACGTCATACCCAGGAGGCCACTCTCTGTGTTCTGTGGGTTAGGACTGTGTCACTTGCCTCCAAACCAAGCAATCAGCTTGTTGTGCCCTGCTCACTCTGAGTGGATCACAGAATCATCCACTTCCTAAGGGCTTGACGCCCATCAAAAGTTCAGTTATTGCATTTTGGTCAAAATGGCAGATTTAAATGACCTCTTTTACTACTTCTCATCCACCCCTTCTCTGAGTGTTACTGACATGCCAAGACTTTAATCTGACAGTGGATTTCAAGTTAATAATTTTTAAACAGTATTTATATAGCAATGGAACTTTGATTCCATTTTTTAAAACTACTCCAACATCAAGATATTGTATTCAACCACCTTAAAGGTCTCTAGACACGTCCAGCGTGATCAGCTATGTTTAAGGAGTAAAATTTGGAAGTAAGTAAGTACTGATACATGAAACCTCTTACTTTGCACAATTAATATACATTAATAAAAAAAGAGGGCTGGGTATGGAGGTGTAATCCCAGCTAACATGAGGACTGCAGTCCAAGGCCATCTGGGCAAAAGCATGAGACTATCTGAAAAACAAACTAAACAGCAAAAGGACTGTGGGTGTGGCTCAAGGTAGAACACCGACCTAGCCAGCATGAGGTTTTGGGTTCAACCCCCAGCACTGCAAAATAAAGTAAAAAAGAAATGGGTAAGTTCTGGGGAAAACCTTGGTTGGCTCCTCTTGAGGTTCACGTATGCAAGGAAAACTCTAGAGTTGGCAAGGCAGGAGGAAATGAAACCCACTCGGTATTTGCAGAACACAAAACACACCCACAACTGGAGAATCTTGCCTCTCTCCACTTACAAAGACATGTGTCTGTCTCCTATCTACATAACTCTTTCTTTTGTTTTTAGCTCAGGGCCTCACACTTGCTAGGCAGGTGCTCTACCACCTGAGTCACTTCACCAGCCCTGCTTCCTATCTAGCCATAGCTCTTTAAGCTCTCCCATTACTTCTCCCATTACAAATTGAAGTGGTCCTACTCTTAGATATAACACCCTTGTCTCCTTTCTCTCTTCCCCTTGCAGCTCCTTCTGGCCGCACTTCCCTCATGAAGAACCTGCAGAGTCTGGGCCCCAGCCACAGGATAAGTGACCGGGACTACATGGGCTGGATGGATTTTGGGAGGCGCAGTGCGGAGGAATACGAGTACCCCTCTTAGGGCCTGGTCTCTGCCCAACTCAGAGGAGGCAGATTAAGAAAACAATCGTCCTCACAATTCCTTGTCTCTGCAGGTTGACAGTTTAAGTATCTATTTATAACATTCTCGATGTGAAAAATCTGTTAAGATTGTCCAGTGCAACCAATCACACATCAGCCGAATTGTGCCATTGGAAGACACACATTTCCTTATCTGTGACTCCTGGTCCTAAAATGTTGCTATGCTATTAAAATGATTTCATTCTGCCCCTCATTCCTTGTATCTACTGAGGGTCCTCAGAGGGAAAAGGAGGGGGGTGTGGTCCACGGTGCCACAGGACCAATCCCTGCAGTAGATGCTCCCAGAAAGAGTTGGGATATATGCACTGCTCATGGAACTGACTTCCTGCCACGAGCAAGGTGCCAGTGAAGGTGACCTTCTATTATTCACTCCAGGATCCAGCCCTGGCCATCCTGATCCCCATCTCTTCTGGCAGCCCCACTCCACCTCAGGGTTTCTTCCGTGTCCTCTCAGCCTTTAAATAAGTTGTAGGGCAGCACCACGTGGTGTTTTCCTGTCTCTGTAGCACAGAGTTACTGTCTAAGAGGTGAACAGTGACCTTTCACACTCCAGCTAGTGAGAGTCACAGACTTGAGGGCTTGATGTTGCTAGGTTAGTGGAACTTCCATCTCTAACACTTCTCCAACCTTAGAATGTCCAACAGAATTCCCTGGGGACTCTCATTAAACTAAATATTTTGATTTGGGGCCTGAGCAAGCTCCCAGATGATGTCAATGCTGCTGGTCCCAGGCCACACTTGGTGTCCCACTCATGTAGAGAGGCCTGTGATCACTTTCCTTGGGCCCTGCCTTATTTCAGAGTCAGTGGCTGTGGCCGGACCCTGGTAGCTAACAAGAGCAGAAGGCAACCCATCTGTTGGTTCTCTGTGAACTCAGTAAAGGGAGCAAGCCCATGGAGACATCCAGAGATGGTCTGATCCCTGCCACCCCAATGCAACCCTGCCATGATGACTCCCTGCAAAGGCCTCCAGGAACTTCAGACTCTCCATCAGCAGAGGCCCCAGGTGGCCCAGTGCCACAAAACATGACTGCCCAAAAGGAAAAAGCATCAAAAGTGATATATCTCAGAAGGGCCTGCCCAGCCCATTGTCACCTGCTGCGGTTATCTCAGTTATCTTCCTAAGTGATGGAAGAGGGGAGTATTGGGAAAGTCCTCAGTGGAGTCCCAGGAAGGCTAGGTCAGAGCAACTCTTTAACCTGAGCTGAAGTTAAAGTGCAGAGCAAAACTTAGACTCCACATAGAAAACACTCCTGAGGTTAGTGCTGAATTTAGTGCCAATAAAAAGCTGCCTCATATGTTAGGTATCCAATTCCCTTTCAGCTGAAACCTCCCAAAGCCTATGTTTTTAGCACACCCCCAAGCAAAAAGCACTAGTTTAGCTCAAACGCAGTACTGCCTATAGATATAGAGTTATTTTTATGAGTCTGTAGGGGATATCAAGTTTGTATTGGGATGAGATTGTGTCTCTCTAAGTGTGTGTGTTGGAGGGATGGTGATGAGGGACTTGGAATTTAGCATAAAATCATCAATGGAGAATGACCAAGAATCATCAGGGAAGTGGGTGTTAAATTTTCAAGGGTAAAGTCATGATTCACAAATATCAAATCAGCACATCAAAGTGTTATTGAACTCATCCATTAATGAAGAACTAGAACCATGCCACAACCATTTTAAAGAACTAAGTACAGACACTTATGGACAGTCAGGAAGGCTGTCCATGGTCAATAATGTGCAGAAAAGAGACTGGCTGTATCTTTAGGAGACCGCTTTCCTTGTGTTTCTACAGCCAAGGATTCTTTGCATTACTTTCAGTCTTCTAGGGCTTACAGAGTGTGTGCAGCTCAAAGACACAGGGGTCAATAGCATCACATACATGCCCAGAGTCCCATTGTCAGGACACTCGAGAGTCCCTCCCAACATTTCCTAATGTGGGAAGGGGAAAGGAAAGAACAATTCCTGGCCTGCTCTTGGGGGCAGGGCCCTGTGCAAAGAAGCTCACCTCATGAGCATCCGTTCAGAAAACTGTCGCCATCATGCAAGGTCATGATTCCACCTCTGCAAGAGGAGACCTAGCTGACAGAGGTTATGAGACCTATGGATGTGCACACAACCCACCTGAGGCAGTGCCAGGACCTGGGCAGCTGGTTCCAGAACTTCCACCTGAGGGCACTTGGGTGCCTCAGAGAAAGGGCTTGGAGCTTGTCTGGACCAACACCAAATCAGCACCAGTGATCATTCGCAATGGTTTTGGGGGGCGCTTGACACAGCTTCTCCACAAGGGTGGGAGGGAGCCTACAGACCTGCTCTGCTAATGCTCTTAGCACCACTGTGGGTTCCAACCAGCCACCCTTTAGCTGTAGTACCCCTGCTCTATGCTACCTACTGTCACCAGGACTCTGGAACCAGCACATATGATCTGGGACTCCACAGCCCTCCCTCCAGGATCACAGGGACTCCCTCTGCCTGCACCTGCCTGCACTCCTCTCCACTCCTGAATCCTCAGCTCTGCCACCCTCCCTTTGCTCAGCCCTCTTTCCCTTCCTGAATCTCTTTAGCTTATAGGACCTGTGCCAAGACCCTGTCCCCCTACCAGCAGTCCTTGATGCTGGTCACTCAGCTCTGCTAATTAAGGGAGCTCAAAATGTTCCTTTTTGTTGATCCATTGAAGTTAAAAAAAAAGAAGCTGAAAGGGCAGTAACTGTCACTCTAGTTCAACACATACACTGACTCTCTCAATTAATAAACTTGCCCAAGATCCCCAGTGAAGAGTGGTGGAACCGTGGGACTCACTTCTTGCCTGGCTGAGACATGGGCATGGCCTGCCCTGCTCTATGGCTACTCAACTCTCAACATGGCTGGCAGCCAGGGGCGGGCAGGGTTCACTCTCCCAAGGTTCACTTACCATACAAGTACATGGCAGTAACACATCTCTAAAATGAGGAATCTTTACTGAATGTGCCTCTAACTTATGGACCCAAGTGGCACATTTTCTATTAGGCACAACCCATCCCAGGTGAAGGGCAAAGCAAGAGGGGAGAAAGATATGTTTTCTGTTCATCCTTTTAACAAACAAGAGAAAATGCCACTGTTTTCTCTCATCTCGGATTTGAAGTGTCCAAGGACAATATCCTAATCTATCCACTAAGTTCCGGGTACCTTGACTATTTTTTCCAGCACTTTCAAATTATTGCTAGTCTTGAAGGTTAAAAAAAAGCAGAAGTTAAGCAAAAAGAGAAAACTATAACCTGGGTAATTTCCCCTGGGCTCTGGGCTCTGAAAGCATCTCTTAGGAGACATTAAAATGATTTTTTGTGTCTGTCTCCTGGTCTGAGTTATATCCTCCTGGAGAATGAGGATCCAAGGATTCTAGAGGAAACAGTGCCTTCCCAAATTTCCCAAACCCCAGACCCCACTGGATAGATTCACACACACAGTCTCATTTTCACTCCTGCCTCTCTGACTTCTCTCTTCCATCACCCACACTCATTGTGCTCTAGCCTCCCTGACTTCCTTGTTATTCATTGAAAACACTAAATTTGCTCCTACCACAGAGCCTTTGCACCTGCTGTTCCCTCTGCCTGAATCACCTTTGCCCAAAAAAGCATAACTGAACCTTTTAGGTCGTTCAACGCCAAACTTACTTATTCACAGATGCTGCTCTGACCCTGATCTCTAAAATAGTCCTCCCTGCTATCTATCCTCTTCCCTTCCCTGTTCTACTTTTTCATACTTGGAAATATATTATATAGCTATTGATTCATTGGCTCTTTCTCATGGTCCATTAGAGCAAGGATTTTTGTCTGGTTTGTTTATTGCTGTATTTCCATCACCTACCACAGTGTCTGGCCCATAGTAGATATTCAGTAAATATTTGTATAATTGTAATATTAATTATAATTAATTGATCAACCAATAAGGGGAAAATCTCTTAGGATCTTTACTACTCAAGTTACAGATTGGTTTTATCTCTCTCTCTCTCTCTCTTCTTTTTTTTTTTTTTTTTTTTTTTTGAGACAGGATCTCATAGCCAGGCTAGCCTGGAATTCTGGGACTTGCTATGCAGCCCAGACTGGCCTCAAACTCACCATCCTCCTGCCTCCATCTCCTGAGTGCTGGGATTACAGGTGGATACCACAACACCTGGCTATAGGAATTAATGTTAGAGGCAATTTCATCAGATCATTTGTTTTGAAAATCAGAGAGGTCATGGTCAAGTCCTTCCAAGACAGGTATAGGATGAGAAGTTGGAAAGCAGACCAAACACAGGTGACTGGCAGCATGCATGAGGATGTAGGCATGGAGGGTGACAGGCACTCCAAAGCACACCCTTCACAAACACACACACACACACACATACACACACTTGTGCACACACTCATGTGTTCAGCCCTGTTTCTTTTGCTTTTTGCTGTAGTTAAAATCCAGAAGACAGGCACCAGTGGCTCATATCTGGAACCCTAGCTACCTGGGAGGCTGAGATTGGGAGGATCACAGTTCCAGGCCAACCTGGACTAAAAAGACCATCTCAACAGAAGACCCCATCCCAATGGAAAAAAACCTGGGTGTGAGTGATGGCATGCACCTCTAATCCCAGTGATGGCAGGAAGCATAAAATAGGAGGATCTTAGTCCAGGCCAGCCTGGGCAAGAAGCAAGAGTATGAAGCCCTAAATTCAAACCCCAGTACTGAAAAACAAAACAGAAAGGACTGGGGATATCAAAGAAGGGAAAGGCAGAGCACTGGCGTGCCATGGCATTGGCTCAGCAGAGGGGAAACAGGCTAAGTGCTGCCTGGTGAGGGAGCTGCTGATGATGTCAGTGCATACCCAGTTGGTCAGCAGTTATTTAAGTTGATGAACAAGAGGATGGAATGGGAAATGGGAAACTATTGTGGTCCATCATGTAGACTCAGCTTGACATGACCACAGCCATCTTGAGTCA